TCTGTGCCAGTACCCTTTCCAATGCGAACATCGACTGGAGCGCGGAAATGTTAACGCGGCGCGTACGCAAGCCATTGTGTGCATGTCAATCCATCGCAGTCTGTAGAAAGGAATTTCCAAGTCTAATTCCCATATAAAATTTCCCTTGATTTCACCATCAAATCCCAGAATAAGAAAACTCTACCATTTCACCCATGTAAGCGCACTTCAAACTTTTCTATCAAAGAACGAGTGAAATAATGAGTAGTGATACCATTAACGACCTCTTCACATTCCTTCAAGAAAAGATAATGAGTCATTTGATACAAACAAGAGATTAAGAGTCTGTCATATGTCTGCAAGTGCAAACATTCACATAAGCTATTTGCAAAGTCTTATGAAAAAGAGTACTATTAAACTTAAAGGAACAAAACAGATAACTTAAGCTTCAAAAAAGGTATCAATGGAAATTCTCTTCTCGAAATTTGAAGATGCAGAAACTGCTTGCTCGGAGGTTTGCTCGGAGTTCTTTCTAGGTGTTCTAAACCTTTTTTGAAGGAAGCACCATATTACAAGATAATGATCCCTCAGCTCTTACTCCAAAAAGTAGATGTGGTTCTTATACATTGAGATAAATTTTACTAGGCGAAAAAGGAATAAGAGTATTTCGCACAAAGATAACACCAAAAAGATTAAAATGTTTCAACTTGGGCTTCTGACGTTAGAGTAATAAATTCGTTAACTTAGAAGGCAATCCTCAGGCAAGTGCACAGATTACGGAGCTCAAACGGTCCAGATTTGAAGGATTAGATAGATAAACTTCACTACAACATGGGGGATGTGATATGGATTGTTGAGTTTAATGGTTACCGCAAAAGTCAGCAGAATGATGTAGAAGGGATCTGAGAGGCAGCTTTGTGAACTGGGATAACATTCTCGATTAGAGAAAAGTCCAAATTGTTACAGGAGAAGTTAATATGCCTGCTCCCACTTCAGTTATCTAAGTGCAGCAAACGAGTTCTCGTCAACCGCGTTTCTAAACGATGATCCGCAGGGAAGAAACAAAGTCGCAAAGTCAAGCGTGCACTTTATATATATTTTTTGGATGTCTTGCATCAGTTGCGTACATTAAAACAAAGAAATTGGGAAAAAACAGCGGAGAGAGCGCATTTGAATATGCACACAAATTTGGCATCTTGGAAAAAGACCCGCCTTTAGAGAAAAGCTTACGAGAAGAAGCGGTGACACGAAATCAGAGGTGAATGATCAGTCAAGAGAAAAGCAAACCAAATATGTAGATGAATGGCCATCCAAAGTAAAATATGTATACAAGAGTTGCTTACAAATCTTCATCCAACCATCATCACATTTCCATTCAACAACTGATTATCACTCATAGAGATGCGTTACATCATTAAAAAAATCAGATGAATAGAAATCTATTCGAGTCGCAATGTAAAAAATAGTGCATAGTTATGCATAAAAAATAAACCCGGACAAGGACTGTAGGGAAAGTTCCTAAACCTCATGGGAAATATGAAAAAACTAAAATTTACGCAACTAGGAAGCAGTTTAATCCATTAGATGGAACAAATTACTGAGCGAGAGGGTGGTAGCAAATATAGAGCCAATAAAATCTAATATCAGCTTTTTGACACCCAAGTGATGGTCTTTTTTATTCAATCAAACTTTTCAGCTCTAATTCGCTCTATATGGATAATTGACGAAAAACTAACACATCACTAGCGATAAACATCTCCTGGGCATAAAATAAAATGACTAGACTTGAGTACTCGAATCGTAGCTCACAACAATTCAGCTCACAACAACCTAGCGATGTATTGAAAGTATGGCAAGACAGAATCTCTTCGGAGATTAAAAA